ATACAAAACATAATTCTGAAAAGTCAAGGCATCAGACAATGAAAGAACTGTACTGTTATRTTAGCATAAATATGTAGTTTATTGAAGTGTTCTTGTCATTTGTCATCCACAGTAATAAAATGTCTGTCAAGGCTGAGGGGATTGAATATTTTTAATTGCAGCTATAACTCGCCAGTCACAAACACTCAACGGAAAATTCATGTTTTTTTTCACCATGTTGAGTCTCCAGCCAGTTGCAGTCCAGTGAGATACTTCCATAATTACATGATGTGTTCTGTGAAAAGATTCTCTAATATTGAAGGAGAAAAAACACAGTAAAACTGTGATCTGACACTGTAAAAGTGCTTCACAACACTTGGATTCACATCAGCTACAGAGGAACACGGAAAGGTTGAAGCTCTGGATAAAAAGCTCCAGTATGACCACACGTGTTCATCTTGTTGACAGAAAACTAACAAGCTCTTTTCTGAAAGTCATGGTTTTGACTTTGCCTAAAGCTTCTGCAGGAACAGGGGGTGTGCATGAGGACCACAGCAGAGAATGAGATTGTGAGGGAGATGAAGGAGAAGTGCTGCTGTGTYGCTCTCAACTACGAGGCTGAGCTGAGTCGAGGGGTGTTGTCCCGTAAAGAGATGCAGTACACCATGCCAGATGGACAGATCGTTACTCTGGACACTGAGCGCTTCAGGTGGGGGGGGGGGGGAACTTTAATTCTGTAACAGCTCAAAACATTTCTGCACCCTCACTATAAATTGGTATTTTTGTACTGTGACAACCTGGGGGTTAGTAAATTGTAGAGCTGAAACGATTCCTCGAATAATTCGAGTAATTCGATTACCAAAAAAACAAAAAAACAAAAAACAAAAAACAAAAAAAAAAACCTAGTTTCTACTGGATTGATGAAATGCATCAGGACACTATTCTGCAAGTTGTAGAGATTTATCTTTTCCAACAGACCTGATTTGAATGAATAGGTGACTAACAGGTTCCTGCAGAACTTGTGGTAACTCGATATTTGAATCAGGTGTGTTGGAGCAGAAAAACGAGTAAAACCTGTAGAACAGCAGCCCTCATGGACCAGATCAGACACTCCTGTCTCAGACATTAGCACTGTTGTTAAAAGAAAAAGTATGCTTTTGACATGTTGCTGTTGTCAGATTCTATTATTTTTTCTTTAAAACTGTTAAAAAATTATATATAATTGTTTTGACATTTCACATGTGTACTATGTTCAATTGTGAATGAAATACGTCTTTATAAGATTTTCAATTCCCTGAATTATATTCTATTTACATTTTATGCAACGTTCCAACTTTGTTGGAATTAGGCCTGCAAGTGTTGTTTAAACCAGAGATTCTTAACCTGAGGGCCGCGGCCCAATTGTGGGCCGCAAGTGCCACCTTGAGGGCCTCAAAAGAACAACAGTTTTTAACTTTGGGCCGCAGAGGGCCGCGGGACCRCATTGATTTTGAATAAGGTGCAATACACTTTCTCACCACTTGTAGCGGTAGTGCGCCACTCATATGTTTAACAACTTTTTAATATGTAGAAGAAGAAACTTAGAAACCTTCAGAGAATGGAAACCTATTTTAAATTAAAAGTAGAAGCAAAAATGAAAGTAACCCATCAAAAAC